TTATATATGTCTCCCCATTGCCTTCTTGCTGGCATGGTTTCTGTTGAGAGATCTGAGCTTAATCTGATTTGCTTGCCCCTTTGTATGTTACACTTCTCTTTTCCCTAGCTGCTTTCAGGATTCTGTCCTCATCTTTGATTTTGGAGAGCTTGATTATTATATGTCTTGGTGATTGTCTTTTAAGGTCTATCCTTCCTGGGGTTTGCTGAACTTCTTGAATGCTTATCTTTTCACTTTTCAGGATGTTAGGAAAATTTTCTTCCAGAAGCTCTTCAACTACCTTCTCTTGGACATGTGTGATTCTTCCTGTTCCAAAATGCCAATGATTCTTAAGTTATTCCTCTTTATGTTGTCCAACATGAATCGTAGACCTTCTTCAGATTTTTTATCCTTTTTTGCATTTACTCTTCTATCTTAGTGTTGAGATATTTATCTTTTAGATCACTAGTTCTGGCTTCTATCTCTTCAATTATACTTCTTTGCCTTTTCAGTGCATTGTCCATTTCTAATATTCTATTATTTATCATTTGGACCTCTTTCTGTAGGTTGTGAATTGTTTCCAATGCTGTATTTGATTGTTCCTGTAGTGCTTTTCTGACTTCTTCCTTATTTTTCTTACCTCCATTATATAGTGTTTTGATAGATTTTATAATCATTTTTCTGATTTCCTTCTCAGGCATTTCCAAAGTCTGCCCATCTTCCAGTATGGACAGTAGGTCTACTTCCAGCTCATTTACCTCAGTCACTTTATCTCATTTCTGGACATGTGCTGACATGGTCATCTGCTTCTGTTTTTTGGGCATATTCAGGGGTTATCTGTGGCCTTAATACTTATATGGGTGTGTATTTTGGTTATTTTTTATGCTTTCTGATTGCCTCCAGGTAGATGTGATGAGGAGACGGGCTTCCCTTTTCACTCTTCTTCTTGAGGAATTTCAAGATGCCACTGTTGGTCATTGTGATATAACTCAGGATTTAATTTTTGGCCTATTTCCTTTTTAGTCTCCCTGTCCCACTCCACGATCCCCATTCAGGCCTTATTCCTAGTGATAAACAGTTCAGGGCCAGTTGTGGCCATTTTGCACTGCCGTTTGGTTTTAAGTGGAAACTGTCACTTTCAATTTCAAGGAGATCTGTGCACATGTCTAGTAGAACCCTCTGGGGGTGGAGGTGGGGTGTCCACTCTCTCAGGCACCCCTTTCATCACCAGAATGGAGGTGTGCAGCCAGCGAAAGACCAATGAACAGATATCAAAAAAAAAGATTGTTCACACCTTTATCTCATGGTTCTGTCAGGCATCATTGGCTGCTCTGATCTTTCCCCTGCTTGGTCTCATCCAAGATTGTGGCTCTGGGAGCAGCTGTGCATCTTAAATTAGAAAGCAATGGATTTCTTGCTGCTGCTACAAATTCCCCTAGCTGTAAGCCTTCCAATCTTTTAAATATTCTTTTATATGTTGTTCAGAGTTCTAGCACCATCCCCTGAGCCTGCTTGGTCCAGTATTCTGTGTTGTTGCTGATGGAGCTCCTCACTGCACTTCCACCTAATTCACCATCTTGTTTGCTCTCTCAGCCCATTATCTTTTAATTCCTTTTTCCATGAACTTTTTGAAGTCCCCTCATATAATAGAGCACATAGGAGACACAGTTATCAAAACTTTTACCAAGGCAAAGGAACAGAGGGACACAAAAATAAAGGACAATCTTGGTAAATACTGTAATATATACAATCATGCAACAACAGTGATAACAAACAATAATTTGTGAGTTGGAGTCCTGGTGTGATGCTGTAGGATTAGCACTGGATTGCTAACCACAAAGTTGATGGTTCAAATCCATCATTTGCTCCTTGGAAACCCTATACAGGGTCACTATGAGTCATAACTGACTTAGTGGCACTTAACAGCAATAACAATAATAACAATAACGTAAGTACATATGTATACTAAAACGCGGTAGAAAGTCATATGGGACTATACTTGTGTGAAAATATAGGTATGGTTGTGGACTTGTCTCCATATATTATAGAGCACATAGGAAGTACAACTTGTATGGAAACTTAAGACATAACCAAACATAGTGTGACTTAATTACTGGACATTTAAATCTATGGACCACAGACAGTCTCAGGGAACATCTAGGTTAACTGGCATAATATAGCACCTAGAGACAATGTTCTACATCCTATTTTGGTTGAGTAGCATTCTGGGGTCTTAACAGCTTTTGAAAGGTCAGCTAAGATACAACTATTGGTTTATTTCCACCCAGAGCAAAGGAGAGTGAAGAAAACCAGACTCAAGGAAGTAATTAGTCTAAAGGACAAATGACCCACATGAATCACAGTCTCCTCTAGCCTGAGACTCAAAGACTTAGATGGCGAGGATACCACTACCGACTATTCTGACCCGGAACACACTAAAAGGTCAGAGTTAGAATTGGAAAAATACATAGAACCAAACTAGAACTCATAAAAAAGATGAGATTTCCTACAGGCTACCTTTAAAATAAACATTAACATTTGTTAGGAATGTGCTTCTTAGAACAACCAACTGCACTAAACCAAAAGGGCACTTTTGCCTAAAAACACAAATGAAAAGAAGTAGGGAGGGGCAGGGAAATGGAGAGAGCGCTGACACACAGCTGAGATTACAACCAATGACATGGAATAATTTGTGTATGAATCATGAATGGAAAACTAATCTACTGTATAAACACTCAACTAAAGTACATTAATATACACATACTGCTGTTCATTGTTGTTAAGTGCTGTCAAGTCGGTTCTGACCCATAGCAATCCTGTATATGGTTTCTGAAGAGCAGCTGGTGGGTTTGAACTGCTGACCCTGTGGTTCAAACAGACCTTGCAGTCCAGTGTATTAACCCACAGCGCAGTACCAGGATGCCTATATACGTGTATGTGTGTGTGCATGCATATATATAAATCCATTTGTGTCTTCACTTTTGTAAAACTCAACTCCTAATGGTCTTTATCTTTGCAAAGGATTAACAGAGTTTAACAATAATTGTGAGGAGGGTCCAGGACCAGGCAGTGTTTCGTTATGCTGTGGATAGGATGGTTATGTGTTGGAACTGACTCGATGGCACCCAATAACTGCAACAACAGAGGTTTGATTTTCCCCTAAAAACAGTATTATACACTTTTAATAAGAATGACAATGTCATAACTATGTACTGAAAACCTGCATTAGATAAGACACATTGAAAAAATACAGAGCATTCTTACCTTTCCAAGGTTCTCCTGTTCAGCAATATGTCTGGTATACTGTTCCCTATGGAGACACGATAGTGATTTAGTTTTAAGTTACTTTGATTATATAACTAAATTATAAATGAACACATCTATCTGAAAAAATTAGACAACATAGCTTAGGGTACTGGAGTCAGAATGAAACCCATTACCAAATACTCACTTTCTCTATCGTTGGTCAGTTCTGCTAGTAAATAGCAATTTAAGGGAGAAAAAAACCCCAAACATCACATATGAAATGAAGTTCAGAGAATTAGAACATTAAGCACTATTTCTAGTTAATTTTTTCTTAAACAATGGCAAATAACTTTCTTAAATTATACTTTGTTTTTGAATAAGTTTGCAGAAAGGACATACATTTTAAATAAATATTAACCAGCATCTAACCCTGCAATTCCTCTTGTGGGAAATCACGTGACAGAAACATGCACACAACTTCATAATGGTAAAAGCAGAGACTGTACACTTCACCATTATTTATAACAGTAAACATCTGAAGATGACCTAAATGTCTATAGATGGAAAATGTTTAAATAAACCAAGGATACAACCATTTGAAAGAATACCCTAGAGCTGTAGAAAAGAACGAGGCAGATCTACAAATACTGAAGCAGAAAATTTATAAATTACTAAAGAGAAAACTGTAGATGTAAGTTTATTCTTATCTTTCTATACATAGATAAGTGTGTGTGTACATATATATGTTTATAAGGACCCCAGGTTATGCACTAACCCAGAAGTCAGTGACTCTGAAGGAGAAAAGACCTGGCCATTTGTTCCCATCAAGATGATAGCCCAGCAAACCCTGCAGGACAATTCTGCCCAGTTACACAGCGTCACCATGAGTCAGAATCAATTTGATGGCACACATGTCAATAAAACACACTTATATATCTCCCCACGTATTTGCTAACATATACACACAACTATTAGCAAATGCATAGGAAAAGTATATGGAATCATGTACGCAAAAGTATTATCAGGAAATATTTCTGACATGGCAATATACACCACATTAACCTTTGTCTCTACTTCATGGTGGTGCCCTCTTGCCCCCCAGTATTTCTTCTTCCTTTTTTTAGAAAAATGACACCTTAGTATGTGAAAGTTTATACAGCAAATTTAATAATTTTTATACGAAATGTTCTATAACGCTGGTTACATTTTCAAAGTATGTCTGCACTCTCATTATTTCCACTGTTTGGTCTCCATCATCTAGCTCCTCTACCTCTACTTCCTTCCTTCCTCCCTCACCTTTGTTTTAGAGTAAATGCTGACTGTCTGATCTCATATAGTTGATTATTAAAGGGGCACAATACTTACAGGTCATATTGTTTATTTTATAAGGCAATCTAGTAGATGAAAGCAGACTACCAGGAGTCGCTTCAGTTCCATGCTCAGAGTATCTTCGGGTGACAGTTTAGGGTCTATCGGTTAAGTAAGTCTGGCCTTTTTTTTTTTTAAGAAATTTGAGTTTTCTTCTTCCTTTTTTCTCCTTCTTATCTTGAATCTTCTATTGTATCCCTGATCAGAACTGTCAGTAGTGGTGACTGTGAACCATCCAGTTCTTTTGGTCTCAGGCTACATGAGGTCATGGTTCATGTGAGTTATCAAAGTATATTTTTGGAACTTAAAAAAAAAAAAAATCTAATGTAAAAAATATATATACAACACAAATAGCACTGTATTGTATTTTTTTAAAGTATAATGATCTTTTAAAAGTGTTGCTGTTATTGTTGTTAGGTGTCATTGAGTTGGTTCTGACTCATAGCAAGCTTGTATAGAGTTTCCAGGGAGTGGCTGGTGATTTGAATCCCAACTTTGTGGTTAACAGTCCAGTGCTTATCCTGTAGCACCACAATAGGACTCCAAGGCAAGAAGTGAAGTTTCAGGTGGGTGACATAACAGCAATAAATACTGAAGGATGATGACAAAGACAACAATGACTAAGAAGATGAAGATTTTAGACTTCAAATCTGGATGGAGATAGAATGTGCTTAGTTTTTTTGAGCAAAGCTACATTGTAGTATTTAATAGGAAATGCAACACTAAAATTGGGAAGCAAAGAAATCATAAATCACAAAGAGAGAATATATAGCAGCTTAAGGGAAGGAAAGGAGCCCTGGTGGTACAGTGGTTAAATGCTCAGTTGCTAATCTAAAGGTCTAAGGTTCGAACCCACCAGCTGCTCTATAGGGGAAGGATGTGACTGAATGCTTCTGTAAAGACTTACAGCCTTGGAAACAATATGGGGTAGTTCTACTCTGTCCTATAGGGTTGCTATGAGCCCAAATCTACTCAATGCCAGTAGGATGGATATTTTTGGTAGATGAAGGAAGATAAGTCTTTATATATAAAGGAAGCTACAAGTGATTAAGGTGCTCTGGTGGCAAAGTGGTTACGAATCGGGCTGCTAACCTCAAGGTCAGCAGTTCAAAACTACCAGCTGTTCCACGGGAGAAAGATGAGGCTTTCTGCTCCCGTAAAGATTTACAACCTCGGAAACCCTGTAGAGGGTCGCTGTGAGTCGGAACCGACTCCACAGCACATAACGACGACAACAACAAGTGATTAGGATGGAGAAAGTGACTGTCACAAGCACTTTCAAGGCTGAAGTGATGGGAGAATATATGGACAGTATAAGGCTGCTGTCGTTGTCTAGTGCTGACTCATAGTGACCCTGTATAGGGTTCTGAGGCTTTAAATCTTGGCAGGAGCAGAAAGCTTGATCTGTCTTCTGTGAAGCAGCTGGTATGATGATGGAAGGTAATACACACAATCCTGGTGAACCTTTACTTTCCCTTAAAACTGTTGGTCTCTCAAGCTTTCTAATAAAAAACAAGCTAGGGATGCTGTTAGGTGCCATTGAGTTGATTCCAACTCATAATGACCCTGTGAGCAACAGAACGAAACAATGCCTGGTCCTGCGCCATCCTCACAAATGTTGTTATGTTGGGGCCCATTGCTGCTGCCATTGTGCCAATCCATCTTGTTGGGGGTTTTCTTCTTTTTTGATGACCCTTCACTTTACCAAGCATGATATCCTTCTCCAGGGACTGATCCCTCCTGAGAGTTTGAGTGGCATATGCATTATGTTACATAAAAAGGAATCTAAGAAATAGAATCTCTATGCAGAGTCTGCATTTGTTACAGATATGTTGTTGTTAGGTGCCATCGAGTCGGTACTGACCCATAATGACCTTATGCACAGCAGAATGAAACACTGCCAGATCCTGGGTCAACCTCACTACCGTTGCCACATCGATGCTGCCACTTGGCCAATCCATCTCATTGGGAGGTCTTCCTCTTTTTCTCTGACCCTCCACCTTACCAAACATGATATCCTTCTCCAGCGACTGGTACCTCCTGAAAAAATGTCCAAAGTATGAGAGTTGAAGTTTGGCCATTCTGGCCTCCAAGGAGCACTCTGGCTGCACTTCTTCCAAAATGGATCTATTGGTT